CAGACAAGTAGGCAGACACTATGGAGGTGGGTACAGGTGTCAATGAGCTTTCCTGTTTTTGCCCAAGTAACCTCAATGTCAGTGGATTTATTGTAACAGAACTACTGAATGAGCCCTGACCTACCCCTTTCCCTCTCCCCCGTCACCCCTCACCCACAGATGAACTGTGGAGTGCTCAATGAATGGATGAATTGGTCTCCATCTTCCTGTGTACCATCATGCTGTTATGGGTTATGATATCTTTCTTGCTCAGAGTCAGACATTTAAAGCAGTCTTCAGAAACGAGTCTGGATACTTCAAGGTGAATGTGAACAATGTCAGCCTCTTATATCATGGACAGCTAGGGAAAAAAAACAAGTGTAGACAGAGTAGGAAAAAGAAAGCTTGGACAGAGCAGAAAATCCTTGTTTATAATGGTTACATGAAATGAGGCTCTGGAAGTGTACGCCCCATCTGGAGTCTAGACATAGACACTTTCATCTGACGATGTCGACAGTAAAGCTTTCACCGGTCTGTTACTGAGTGTCTGCTTGGTTATTAAGGTGGCTGCCATTTTGGTCCGAGGCTAAGTGTTCTTTATCAGTCATTGTTTGGTAACTGTGTCTGATAAGGAGATGGCAAATCTTAGCCTGTGAGGTATTTTGTAGCATGAAAATGACAGTGAAGTCCCCTTAGCTGCCATATGCAGGGCAGGCTTAGAGGCCAAAAGGTGAGGGGAAGACATTATGGTATAGTTTGGAAAGATCTGGTGGGTAGGGGTGGGGCTAAAGATGAGCACCACTGAGTTAACACTGCTCTGGGCACTCCGTCATCACGTGATCCATGAGAGTTTCTCTCTATTGAATGGCCCTGCTCCACCTCTGTCTCCAGCTCAGAAGTGTATTTATTCTACATGGTTTCATTTTATTCAGTAAGAAGGGATGGCCATCTGTCTAAAACTTAAAGGTGAACATTTAGGTTTTAGATTATTTGTCCTTTAAGGAATCAGACAGAGCAGGGAGGAGAGGGAAAGGGAGGAAGAAGGAGAGAGAGAAAAAGAGGAGAGAGAAAGAGGGGAAAGGGGAGAGGGGTGTAAAGGGGGAGAGGGAGGCAGAGGAAAGAGAGGGAATGAGAATTTATACCTACTCACCTTATGAAGAAAATATCAACTGTGCTCCTTCAAAAACCAATTTTTGTACTGATCCTGGTGCTTGAACTCAGGGCCTGTGTATTGTTCCTGAGCCTCTTTATGCTCAAGGCTAGAGCTCTACCACTTGGGCCACCATGCCATTTCTGAAGATAAGAATCTCACTGGACTTTATTGCCTGGCCAGGCTTTAAACCACAATCCTCAGATCTCAACCTCCTATGTAGCTAGGATTACAGGCGTGAGTCATTGGCAGCCAGCTTCCACTGTGCTCTATTTAAAAAGCTCCTTAGGAGCTACTATGGATCGTAGTTCGAAACCATGAAACTCTGATCTCCAATTAACCACCAAAAGAACCAGAAGTCGTGTGGCTAAAGTGGTAGAAGGCTAGCCATGAGGGGAAAAAAAGAAAAAAAACTCAGGGACAGCCCCCAGCCCCAAGTTCAAGTCCCAGGATCTGTACCAAGGAAAAACAAAACAACAAAAATTTCTTGTTACTCTACAGAAAAAGAGAAATTCTAATTTGGTTGTTTTCGAAACAAGTGTGGGAGAAGCTGGAAATAGCTTCTCCACAGGGGAATCCATGGATTCTGTGCTTTTATAGGTAGATCTGTTTTTCTAGAGTGAAAGCCTGCACAGAATGACAGCTGGACCTGTGAGGCTCCTGCCTGGCAGGGTGTTCTTTGTTTCTGGGAATCGTTGGGGGTGCTCTCCACACTGCAGGAGAGGAGGCCCACAGGGCAGCAGGGCGTGGGGAGGTTCTAGTGGTTGAGCTGGTGGCCATGGACATATGGGGAACATGGACCTGGCTAGGTTTTGCTGGGGTCTGGGTTGTGTTCTACCCATGTAGTGACCACAGAGCTTGTGGAGACCTGCTTAGGGTGGCAGAAGGAGGGCAGTCCTTCAGGTACTATGTCACTATGTCACCTGGTTCTAAAACATAGTGGCAGACTCAGTTGAGGTTTCTGGGGTTTGAAACGTGTGTATTTCTGCCTGTGGATATATTATCTGCATTGGCAACTTAGGTGTGCATATGTAGGCTAATACTTCACTTGCTAATTAAAAAAACTGAAGATGTTATTCTGAGCTCCATAGAGGAAATATCAAAATCACTATTCTTTACTATTTTCTCTTTTTGAGTCTTGCGACGTACCTCAAACTCAATCCTTCTGAGTGCTGGGATTCTCGGCCTGCACTACCGTACTGTACTGAAATGACTATTTAATTGTTGGGAGACATGGGTCATAGGGCAGAGCAAGTGGGCCACGGGTAGACACTCATTTCATTGCTCAGTGCCTCCAACTAGTGGGACTTGTGCTGCTAAGTACACTCTGCTGTGGATGAGTGTGGATTTAATTGTGCAAAGCAGTAGGTGTCGGTGTGGAAGGAACACATGTCTCTGGTGGGCTCAGGAGGGCTCAGGCATTTGGAGGAGACTGTGCTGCTGGATAGGATTGCAGGAAGGATGGAAACGCAGACAGTTTTGTGTTGTTGTTTTTTTTCAGTTACCATCATTGAACAGTTTTATAGATGAGGAACCATGGAGCTTTTAAAGGCCCCAGAGCCTTAGCCTGTAGGCCTGCCTCCTTTGTGGATTGCACTGCGCTAGGCTCAGGGTGGTGTGGCTGCTCCTGGGGGCTGCAACGGGGTAGAGGGGGGCTGGGAGTGGTGACCCAGTCTCAGGCTGGGACTCCAGATCAACCAGACCCAGCATCTGGAGTGGCTGGGGCTTGCGTGCCAAGTTTCTCCATGATTAACTGAGATTTAAAGGGCTTGGCCTGAACCGGTGGTGCAGATTCTTGGTGAGAGCACTAGAGCTGCAAGGCTGTTTCTTGGGGCGCTGAGCCCTCCAGAGTTACTCTGGCACGCAGGAACATACTGTTTGCTAATGAATGGGCTTCCTTTAATATCAGTTCCCTGCCCTCTCAGTCTCCCTCTGCATCGTTGCACGTAAGAGCTGGGTCCGTCTGACTGTCTGTTGGACTGTGTTGGCTGACTGTTGAGACCCTGCCGTATGGTGCAAATGATAATTCCATGTGAGTTATTTGCAGAGTGGAAATGCAGAGCTGCTGTATCGCATGCAGATAGTGGCTGGGATGTGGGAGAGTGCTGGACACACAGCCATGGACGAGTGAGGGTCTGAGATTAGACCAGTTACAGTCAGAGGAGAGTCAGGGAGGCTGAGGGTCGGTGAGGAGTGTTCAAAGGACTCCAATGTTGTGGGATTAAGAGAAACTCTTCGAAAATTGGTGGAGCTCTTGAATAGTTTGCAAAAACAATCTTTCTGCTTGTCTTATGAAGAAGAAAATCTTGAAGGAAACAGTTTAGGGGTAGTTGTTAAGAAAAAGTGTACACAGCCAGACACCAATGGCTTGTGCATTTATACTGAGAGCTGGAGGATTGCAGTTTGAAGCAGTTTTCTTGGCAGAAAAGCTTCCAAGAGACTCCGTTTCCAGTTAGCAAAAAGTTAGGCTGGAGGCATGGCTGAAGTGGTAGAAAACAATGTGCAAACAAGCCAGGCTTTGAGTTCAAGCCCTGAAGGGAGGAAGGAAGTAAAAAGGAAGGGTGAATATACAGGAGTGCCCCCCTACCCATGATTTTTCTAGACCAGTCTAGAACATGGTTATCATTTCATGCTCTCAACCTAAATTTGGTCCAACTTAGTCCCATTTTTAGTCCTATCTTCTTGAGAAGGTAAAGACCCAATCAAAACTTTCCATCTGTCCTCCTCCCCCAAATAATTTGCTATAAAATAAATGGTCTTTGTTTAAATGGGCTTATTTAAAGTTACCACCACCCTACATTGCTTCTATGTATTCTTGGCTAGCTGCGACTATTCTTGTTTCTGCCTGGCAGGAGCTTGTTGTGAGGGGGTTTTAGCAGGTGGTATGCAATCTTTAGCAACAGAGAAGTTACGGCGGTACATACTCCTATCTAAAATACTCCTTTTTCCTGGTCTGAGATGTTTTCCCTCTTGTTTCTAGTTACTTTTGAAATTATGTCCTTCCAAATTTAAAAACAAAACAAAAATCTGTTATATTGCATCCTAATGGTTTTGAGATTTCTTTCAATATGGCTGTAAAATTAAATCAACTGGGCTCAACGCTGGCGGCTTACACCTGTCATCCTAGCTTCTCAGAAGATTGACATCTGAGGCTCTCAGTTCAAAGCGAGCCTGAGCAGGAAAGTTCATGAGACACTTATCTCCAATTATCCTGCAAAAAAAAAGAAAAGAAAAGAAAAATCTGGTAGTAATGGTGTGGCTCAAGTGGTAGAATGCTAGCCTTGAGCAAAAAAGCTGAGGGACAGGGCCCAGACTCTTCATTTCAAGCCCCACAGCCAGCACCAAAGAAACAAAACAATGTAAATCAGTTGGAATTCAGTATAAATGTGTGGAGCTATAACAGTGAAATTCTACCCCCTCCCTGTATAACTAATAAAAGCCAATAAAATACAATATATTTATCTGTTATGTGGTTTCGATCACTGATATTCAAATCTTTAGCAGTATTTTCTAATGCTCAAAAGCCACCCAACACTCAGCTTATATCCTGTATTACCAGAGGCATCCCTTTTTTTTGTCTTTGGGGGGGAATTGAAGCCTAAAAAGAGTGGGTTGCTTTTGTGATTGTCCTAAAAGACCCCATATTGTGGGTGATGCTCAGGATGCATCCAGACCAGAAAATTCTAGAGTCCTTCTGGATGAGGGGGACCAAGCAGCCTCTGAAAGACAACTTTTGTTGGCTTTTTGTTTTCTTTTCCTGATGGACTTTATTGCTTAGGAGTTTTAGGTTTGCAGGGATGTCTGATTAGCTTCACAGGGAAGCTGTTAACTCACAATTTTTTTATTTTGTTTTTGTTTTTCCTGTCTGCAGACGTCGCCTCATCTCTCAGAGATCATCTTTGGAGACCCTGGAAGATATTGAGGAGAATGCCCCCCTCCGGAGGTAATTTTTCCATGTTTTACATATATATATAGATAGATAGATGTAGATGTAGATTATATATTTGTAGATAGTGGGTGGCACAAGATTGTTCTTTTTAAGTTCTTGATGTACAGAATTAAACCTTAAAAACGACCATCTGGCTCTCAGGGACTAAATCCTAGAGTAGCCTAGTATGCCTGCAAATTTGGATCCTTGTGATTTTCCTTTTTTTTTTAAAGTGCTGGACATTGAACCCACAGCCTTTTGCAAGCACAAGCCCAGGACTAAGCTGCATCCCGAGCCCTCCTTTCCATTTAGAAGGTTGCACTTAGTGGAAGAAGAGCCTAATATTATCCCAGTGATGATTATGTGTAGTCTTAGACTGCCTTTTCGGCCAGAAAAGCGGCCAGAACTTGGCCATGACGTCACTCCCAGAGCTAGTTGCTGGGGAAACCTGGTGAGGATATGCAAGGGCTCCCTTGGGATGGAAGGCATTCCGTCCCCCAGGGGGGATTAGACCAATGCTGGTAAGGCATCTTTTTCCAGGCGACAGCAATTGCTGCGCTGTGCTGTGCAGTGCCTGTGACTGGCAGGTTAATCCTGCCCCCTCCATTAACACACATCTGTACTGCAGCCAACCAGGCTCTTGTGGGGGAGAAAATAGTCACACACACACAGTGTCTCTTTGCACCCTCCCTGCGGCCCTGGGATGAGTGGGGCTCAGCTCCAAAGAAGGAGCAGAGGCAAGATGGAGCAGGGACTGCCAGACTAGCAGACCTGCGAGAGGACGCCAGCTCCTATAGACCCTGCCTGCTTCTCTGCTTCTGCTCTAACTGGGCTTAGAAGTCTCCAGATTTCCCATGGACCTGGGGGAAGTGTTAGTGGGGAGGGTGGAGGCTTTCTCTGGCCTGGAGAGAACTCCCTTCCAGGTGAAGGGTATGCCCATAGCCCCACCTGCATGAGAATGGGAGTGCAGAGTAAGCCCCAACACCATTCAGCCATGAATCTGATCAGTGGCATCATCCCAAAAGGTCAGCTGTTTTTGAAATCTTTAGAAATGTCTTCGAGTCCCAAGTCATGTGTGCCACATGTGCCTGGCCTGGAGGAACTGTTAGATGTTGGGAGGCCATTTCCTTACAGGACGCATCTGGCGGCTTCAGTAAAAGTCAAGTCAGAAGCTGAGCACAGTGGTACACACCTGTAATCCCAGCACTGGGGAGGTGGAGGCAGAATGATTGAAAGCTCAAGGCCAGCCTGGGCTATAGAGAGTGAGGTCCTGTCTCAAAAACAAAACAATTCAAGATGGAGGCCTTCACTCAGTGGTTGAGTGCATGCCCAAGGCCAGGACTACAAAAATAAAACACCACTTAAGCAAAACAAGTCAGATATCTTGCTTTGGTGTAGGTAATGGGGAGTGTGGAGCAGCAGTGTTATCAGGTGTGGCCTTGGTGTGGTAAGATGGCCTGTGACCCAGTCTCTCCCTCCTACAGCAGACAGGAAAATCAGTGATGAGGGCCAAAAACCCCTGGTGCTTGCAGAAGGCTGCTAGAAGCCAAGGTCTGCAGAGCCGTGTGGCAAATGTGAGCAGGATAACTAGGCGATCAGTCAATGGGGGTGAGATGGGCCTGGGGCTTGTTCTGGGCGGTGCTTTGCCCTTTCCTCTTGGGATCTGCCCAGACTGGCAAACAAGCTCAGGAAAATGGCTGATGTATGTACCTAAACTACAGTTTCATCCAGGTCTTACACACAGAACATTGTCCGGAATCTCAAACAAATCTTACATAAATACAAACTTTAAAAAAAAAAAACAATCAAGATGTTTTAGAAATCTTTATTTCCCCAAATGGACTTTTTTTTTTTTTTACTTTAAAAAGTTCTCATACTTGGAACTTACTTGTTCCTAGAAAATCAGTGTGACCTAGGAAGGAAAATTCCTTTGGGAATCTGAAGTCCTGAGTGCTTGGCTTGATGTTTTTTCAATGGTATGCAGTCTCTCTGGGGCCTCTGTGTTCCCATCTGTAAAATGGTAGGGCTGATGTCTGTTCTTCCAATCCTGCCAAATAGGAAAGTACCAATAACGACTGTAAGGTATTGGGGGAACTGTGGGGGTGGAAGGTTATTAGCCCGACTTGCTTTTAAGCATTCCACATAAAAACAAATGCATAATTAAGTGTATCCTATAATCAGTGCTAACAAGAAAGAGCTAATCCTTCATTAAATTAATTTTTAATTTAATTATATCCTAATTTAATTTCACATCCCTTAAAATACATGTCTTTAAATGGGTATTTACACGTTAACGTAGGCGGCTTTGGAATTAATTTGTTCTTTGCTTAACCTGCCACCACCTGATGGGGCCCTGTATTCCAGTTTCCTTGGCAATTGTTGCTAACCCCACAGTTCTCTTGAAGCAGTTCTTAGATCCCCTGGTGGTTTAGTTGAATGCTTTAAAAAAAAAATAGAAAGGAAGACAACAAACAGCTTGCAGAATAAAGAGCGGGATCAGTAGGGTGTGCCTTTAGAATTGAGAGCTGTTATGGAAATAGCAGACTCTTATTAAGTTCTCTTGTCAAAAGTCTCCTCTCTAGCATATCGTTAGTGTTTCCTGTATCCACCCAGAGCTCTTAAGAATTGAGCACTTACAATGAGAGGACTTGAAGCAGTTTGCCACCAGCCTCACCTGGGGGTTTCATGGTATTGCAGAAATAAAATGGTAGGACATCTCTCCTAGGTGCCAAGGAAAACCTTGGCTTGTCTGCTACAGGTATGCCAGTCATCAGCTTCCCTAGGCCATCAGGATTAGGGGGATGCTAGTCGTTATTTGCTGCTGCCCCCGTTGACAGCTGCCATGGACAGCTACCTATGTCTCTTTTGCCCATTTCCATTCAGTCCTGGTGGAAGATGAAGGAATTTGGGGCCCCTCTTTCTTCAGGCATGGGAGACAGGAAACAGCTCAGGTTGTTCTTCCCCTCTGCTGGCATTGGTTTCTGCTTCATAGAGGTGGGAGGAGGAAGGTGCCAGAGCTTGCTGAGTTGGCAGAACCTGTGAGCTAACTGTGCCTGGCTCACTCTAGCAGTCTGGTCCACCGCCCTCTGACTGGCTGGCTCTGTTTTAGAGGTAGAGTGAAGTAAGGTATGAAGTCATTCTTGAATCCTTCTATCCAGAAACTACTGGACGCTTTGTGTTTCTTTATTTTGTTTTTTAATGGTTTTAGAGGTTCTTTCCAGCAATCCCACGTTTCTAGATTCTTCTGTGAGAGAGATTATTGGGAACTTTGAGTGGTCTATAGACTCAGGCAGCCATTCTCAAGCCAGAATGGGGATTGTTTGGGGTTCTGTGTATGCCTCCAGCGAGTGCCCGCCCTGAGAAGGCATAGAAGGCTGTGTTTTCTTGAACCCCAAACTGATTGAGTGTATCTGGGTGGGGAAGGCTAGAGTGGGGCAGGGCTGGTGGGTACCATCTCTTAGTCTTAATTCCCTGAAGCCCACAGGAAGCACCAGTAGATTCTCAGGCAGTGTTCTGCAGGTCTGCAGCACCCTCATCAATGAAAGCCAAGAATCTAGGACTTTAAACAAGAGCTGTTGTTTTGAGATTATAAAGCAAATATTATCAAACAGGCACCCTTTATAGCTCAGGCTCATGGCAATAACAACACTTGACATTTGCATATGAATATTCTTGTGTGTGTGTGTGTGTGTGTGTGTGTGTGTGTGTGTGCATGCATGTGTACGTATTTGAATGTGTCACTTGACAGTTTATGAAGCTCCTTTTTTTATTTAGTCCTTACAGTAGCAGCAAGGACCAGCAATATTAACAATAGCAACAATTGGGATTCTTGAGTAGCCTTCAGAGTCCAGCTGTCATGAGTCAGTAGCAGTGAGTGTGAGGGTGTAGGCTGGGAAGACCAGTGTCTGCCCAGGCTTCTAGCTCTAATGTAGTAGAGAAGGCTGAAAGGGGAATTTTCCTGCTTTGGACCCATGGCCTGTGGGGGGATCTGTGGTGAAAACCATCCAATAAATAAATAAATATCTGATAGCATGCCTTTGCTTTGGTCTGCACTCATTGCTGCTATGATATTTCATTAAGATACATTTTAAGGTGCCAGTCCATAAAAGAAAATAAAAATCATGCTCAGTGCTCTGGAAAAGACTTTGCAGCTTGGCCTTACTAGATAGGTAGGATGGGGGTATGTAGGAGATCTCTAAGCTTGACCTCCCTGGAGAGGAGTGATGTGGGGTGTGCATTATAGGTCCTTCTGTACCCCTGCCCATTCCCCAGACCAGATCCCTCAGGTGCCCACACCACCTTCCCATAACTCTGCTTCTGCTGGCTCATCTTGTTACCTCTTAACCTAAAGCCTCCAAGTTAGACCTCCAAGTTAGACCTGACAATTCCGGGTAATGATCAAAGGCAACAGTGCACTGCATTTCTGGAACTCACTTTCTGAGTCATGAGGTGTGTAAGCACCCACATTCTATGGCAGGAGTCAGTTCTGGGGACCCATGGCCAAACAGAAATTTTGGTAGCAAAAGTCAAAATAGAAAAGTCACCATAACTCCCTTTTGTCAAGAAAAGATCGAAGCTCCCTTTGTCTGTTGGGTGTTTTACTTGATAGTTACATTGTGGTTTTATAACTTAGTATTTATGAGGTGACTTCAAAAATACTGTACACAAGTAAGCTATCTTCAGCCTGTGGCCAAACCTACAGTGCAAGCAAATATCACATATTCCAAGCGGTGGGGGAGAATATCTTAAATACAGTGCAATTTCAGTTTAACACTATTTATTTAAAACTTACCTTGAAACAAAACCCAGCCACTAAGTGGGTCTCTGAAACTCTGATACTCTTCAGACCCAAGCTGTGATTTCCAGACACAGTCAAGTTTGGACTTGATACAACCATCCAGGTAATGGAGGCCAAAATCTTGCTATGGAAGAAAAATGATTCATATTGTTTTTAAACTAGATGTTCCAGGGTCTTCCCCATGCTTCAGATCCTCTAAAATTTATAACTTTCTGTTCCCTTTACCCATGTTGATTCAGAGGCGATTCTTTTTTCTAATGACAGTAAAGAGTAATGGCTTTGTAATCTGTTACTGTAAGGTTATGTTATTGTAAGCAGGAACAACCATTTTCATTAGCTGGCTTTTTGGAAACCCATATAAAGTATTAATCAGTCTGATCAAGGAAGTTTGTCTGTCACTGCTTCTAGCCGTATTGTCTGCATTAGCCTGGCCGCTTTCTGCGTGCCTTGGGGTGACTCAGACCATTCCTCTGGTCTTTCCTTCCTGCCTTTGTGTGGACATCTCTCAGCTGTCCAGCGGGCAACTGACTGTGTTTTTGAAATGACTTTTATTTTTCAGATGTCGAACTCTCTCAGGCTCGCCCAGACCAAAGAATTTTAAGAAGATTCATTTTATCAAGAACATGAGGCAGCATGATACCAGGAATGGCAGGTACTAACGACCTTACGCCAAAACTATCTCCTAGGCCAGTGGGGAGGAGAGGGAAGGGAGGGGGGCCATTTTAATAGCTAGAGCTGAGCAGAGCAAAGCCCACACTTGACAATGAGCAGGATCTCATGGGACCTCCCCAGATATCCACTCTGCTCACCCCAGAACTGTAGGGAGTAGTGATTAAGTGAGAGACTTAGACTAGCCACAAACTGAACTTTTGATAGTACACATTATCTTTTATAGAAAACTTTTAACAAAGAAAAACCAGTCTTTTTTTTCTTTTTTTGGGGGGAGGGCCGGGGGAGTTGGTTTTGGGTCTTGAATTCTGGGCCTGGGCGCTGTCCCTGAGTTCTTCAGCTCAAGGTGAGTGTTTTGACAGTTGAGTCACAGCGCCACTTCCAGTTTTCTGGTGGTTAATTGGAGATAAGAGTCACAGACTTTCCTGTTTGGGCTGGTTAAAACCACCATCCTCAGATATCAGCCTCCTGAGTAGCTAGGATTACAGGAGTGAGCCACCAGTGCCAGGCTGCTTTTTACCACTACTTATTCATTAGCCAATAAATAACCCTGCCAGCTCTTGTGCCCGAACGTGACTTTGGCCACAGTGTTAATAGCCAAGGAGGGCAGAATTGGTGTTGGACCAGCAGATGCTTCCTCAGAGCTGGTTTAAGTTCCTGAACCCATAGGTGTTGCTCCAACATTATAGCTTTTCTTACGAGAAATGCCAACCAATAAGCATTATCATGGTTGGAATTTATGTGACTTTGACATTGATACTCTTTAAAGGATGGGTAGATGGAAATCCATGATGCTGGCATGCATAGGCTCTGCTAAGCCCATTAATCTTGGCCCTGTGGTAATAGTAGTAGGAACAGAGCTCTGGGACTTCTGGGGTCCCTGCAACTCTTACAGTTTATGAAGTATCCTAGTCTGGGTGAGTTAGGAACACTGGACCAACACAGAGGTCCTGCTGTACAGACCATCTTTGTTTGACTACTAGAATTCTAGAAGACCACCTAGGCCCCAGCACTCTCTAATTTACCTAAAATGAAATTTGCTGAGACATCTTTGAGTGAGATCCATTAAGGTCCAACAGGCCTATGATTCAGTGGTAGAAAATGTGCTTTACAACCTATATAATAACACCAACGATTATGGTTTTTCTTGAAGTTTGTACTTGCTGTAAGTACAGAGCTTTCAGTTAAAGTTCTCCCACTTGGAGCCAGGTGTGGCGGTCACACCTGTAATTTCAGCACTAATAAGGTAGAAACAGGAGGACCTCAAGTTTCAGGCTAGCCTTAGCTATATTTTAAGATCCTATCTCAAAAACAGAAACAAAAACAACACAAAAACCTAGCTTCACTTAACTGTTAATGTTCAGTGGAGTGCTCCCATTTTCTCTGTTACTGGGCCTTGTTTACTTAATTTTGAGGCCATTCCTGAGGCCATTTCACTATAATTATCATTTCTTTTTTGTAATTATATTTTTATTATCTTGAGTTGTACAAAGGAGTTACAATTCAATACAATGATCATTTCTTTAGTGTCTTTTTTTTTTTAAATAACCACAACATAAACATTAAGATGCTTTTAATTCCTAAATAAAACTGATAGCAGAAACCAAAGAAACGAGCCATATTAAAAGCGTTGCCATCTCTGGATGCTGCCTATTCAGGACACAAAGAGAATTCCCTGGCATGGTTAGGTGGAGAGAGGATATAGCTGGTGACAGAATTTGGATTAATGGGATTTTCAGAGTACAATAAGAGCTGCCTCCCTTATGCCCTTGACCCAGAGGTGGCATAAACAGGCAGGAGACACTGCAGTGGCCAGCAGTTTTGATGGGGAGTTTTCAGGGGGTGTTGAGCAAGCTTCTTTTGAAGATCTGGGGGCTGGAAATTAGAGCAGGAACAAAGGCTGCATGTAAATCACATTCTGTAGGTGGGCTGTACCTGCCCAGGTGAGAACTAGTTTTCCTGTGCAAACAACATGAAAAGGCCAGAAGGGCTCCCTTCCTCCTGTGGGTTTATTAGCAAGGGTGGATTGCCTTTAGATGGAAGAGAAGCCAGGAAGAAGATAGGATTTCTGAGATGACAGGAGGAAGTTATGATCAGGAGTTAATGGGTTGGAGAATGATACCCAGCCTTTCTGAAAGGAGGGTGGCAGAAGCTTTGCCCCCAGCCTACTGGCAGCACAGTGGCATTTGATGGGCTCCAGTGTCAGCACTGGTTGGTAGATGGGTCCCAGTGAGGAAGGTACCTGTGTACCTATCTGTGTACCACCTCAGGAGTAGAAGGATGTATGGTCCCTGAGGTCCCTAGCCTGGCACCATCCACGCACACTTCTGTGTACCTCCCAGGTCTCCCGTGGCCTCTCAGTCTGCAGACAAATCTGGAATTTTTTGCCACAAAGATCCTCTGTTGAGACCCCCTTTTCCTCCAAAGTGGTGACCCTGTGATAATGAGATACCTCATTATTGAGCACTCACGTCCGTTATGTCACCGAGGACCAGATAACAATTCACAGAACAAGCAAAGAGCATCATGGTTGAGACTCTGACCCACGAAAGAGTTTCAAGCCCACAATTTTGAGATAGAAAGGGAAGCAAGCTATACTGAGAGCCAGATATAATGAAAGATGATACTGGTAGCATTGAAAATGCAAGCCAGAAAGCATCAGGAGTTCTCACAAATTAGTAATAGCAAAGACACTGTCTGCGGAGCCTGAGGTGGTTCCACATTCCCCATAAGGCACTGCTGTCCTCTGGGACTGGAGATGAATCCCAGCTGGTGGTCAGGCACAGTGAACATCTCAAGTAGAAGCAAGAGGTTGTGACAGAGAATGGAATTGCAGTCAGGAAAAAGCATGTTCATCAGTGGATGGTAAGGCTGGCATTGAGCCTGCAAGAGGCCTTTCTGGATGACATGCATAGAAACCAAGCTGACAGTCATGCTGCGGCCACTGGGCCATTTCCTGACCCAGGGCACAGGTCAGCCAGAGCAATGGGCTTTCAGCCAAAGCAAGCCCTTGTCTAGTCCTGTATGGGCTTGTCTCTAGCAAGAGGGGAAGCTGTAACGGAAGCATCTGCTCTCAAGATCTGTGTTGGCCTCGATGCAGAGGACAGGTTGGTACTTCAGGACTTTGGGCTGGTGGAAGGAGGAATAGGAAGGAAAGCAGAGCTTCCTTAGATTTTAGGAATACAGACTAAGAAGTAGATTCTTAGCTGGGCACTGGTGGCTTACACCTGCAATCCTGTTTACTCAAGAGGCTGAGATCTGAGCATTGTGGTTCAAAGCCAGCCCAGTCCATAAGACTCTTATCTCAAAGTGGAGCTGTGGCTCAAAATGGTAGAGCACCAGCCTTGAGCAAAAGAGCTCTGGGACAGTTCCTAGGCCCAGCATTCAAGCCCACAACCAACAATAATGAAAAAAAAAAGTAAATTCTTGTGGCCAGAAATGTAATGCCAAAAGCTGTTATAAAGTTATGAATATCACAAGATGATAATAGGTTACAGATTGAGTACTTGGGGAGGGAAGAGGGGCAGACTTCACAGTACTTCATAGGCTTTGCTTCCTGAATTCAAAACTAAGTAGGTGTTTGTCAATATATGAGTGCCTTTCAGTGAGTTTCAACCTTCAGGATTAGTTCTTGAGAAATAGAATTCAGAAATACAAATAAGAAGTAGAATTCAGAAATATAAATAATAGTTGGAGCAACCCTATCGAGAAGAAGTAATGTCCTTGAAAGATGTTCACACCCTGTCACCGGATCTGTGAATGTTTGGGTACATAGCACTGGGGTAGTACAATTGCTCATTAGCTGACCTTTAGATAGGAGGTTTATGGGTCCAATGTAAGCACAAAGTCCTTCAGAGAGAAAGAAAGCAGGTTAAGTGTTGTCAGGTAATGTGATAAAACTCAATTGGCCTTGGCTGATCTAAAACTTGAGATGGGGTCACAAATAAATATACATGTTGGCATTCCAGAAATAGGAAAAGCTTTGGAAACATATAGTGATGTTTGCATATATTGTGTGCTTAGTGACACTGAATTGTACACATAAAAACTGTTTGAACAGTCCTGTGGCTCACGCCTGTAATCCTACTCAGGAGACTTGAGATCTGAAGATGAAAATCTGTGAGTTTTTTTTTAATCTCCAGTTAACTAGCAGAAAGCCAGAAGTGGAGCTGGACTCTGGTGATAGAGTGCCAGCCTTGAGCAAAAAAGCTAAGAGACATGTGTGTATGCACATACATATATATATATACATATATGTCTACGTATGTGTGCATACATAATGATACTTAACGGTGTTTTAAAAATTGAAGGGAAGGGATGGTGTACTTTTGTGGTTTAATTGTTCAAGACTAATTGAGGTCAGCTTTTTCCCCCAAATAAAACTATGAAGTGTAGGCTTCAAGCAAGGTGCCACACACACAGTAGGCACTCAATATATGTTGAATAAATGAATAGAGAGGCTTTTAAAATGGGTTTCAGTCTTCAGATCTCAGGAAATGGAAAGAATTTAGAAATACAAGTAATTTTTCAAACTCCATGGAGAATAGAAAAAATTCTATGCCTAATGCCAGGCACGTGTTGCTTTATAAAAGTCAAGCAAAGCCTGCAGTGGCAGCAGAGGGTAAATTCTTATAATCAGCCCAGCAAGTCTTGGGCTGATTGCTTGCAGAGATTGGGAACAGATGGTTTGTGTGCACTCTAGAAAAGCATGTGGAGGTTTGTTAGCAGTCAGCATGAGTTCACCAAGGAGAAGTCATGTTAAATTAACTTGATTTCCTCATTGATAGAATAACTAGGTTAGTAAATTAGGAAACTGCTGTAGGCATTACATTTCTTGATTTCAGGAAAATGTTAGGCTGTTCCTCATTATGGTAGATCCCATTGGGTTGAATGTGAGGAAGGCCGGGTGACTGGAGAGCCCCAAACCTGGAACAACTGAAGTTTGTTAGAGGACCAGCCTTGGTGTAGAAGAACTAATAGCAT